TCTCATTTTCAAAATCAAATAAAAGCAAACCAGTGGGAGAGAAAGAGTGAGTGTTGCTCGTTTAGCACAGCACAGCAGGGAGCTTTGATTTGTGCCTTGGCTGGGCACTCAGAATGCCCCGTACTTGGGCAGTTGTGGTGTTCACCTATCCTGTAATGGACCTGTGTTAAAAGTCACTTCAAGCTGTAGTTAGCCACCCTGTATGCCACATGTGCCATATGTGTAACACAGACTGAGCAGGAGCTCAGTAGGTAACAAGGGAGGCTCACCTCCAGGTTTGCAATGGAATGAGAAACAGAGAGGGCAGGGAAGTGAGTCCAATGGCTGATACAAAAAAAAAAAAGGAAAACAAATAATGGACAGCACGTGGCTGGAAGGTCATAAATAACCAAGGTAAACAAGTCAATAGAGTTAAGTGCTTTTAAAGACAATGGCTGGCATTGCTGCAAAAAGTATCTTGGTTATCTGTTGCCAGCTCCATGGAATGAATCAGTTTTCCCACTGCCACAAGAAGACACAAATGAAACCCAGAAGGCCAAATTCAGATGCTAAAAATGGGGTCCCTGTAAGACTGAGCGTGCAGGTTCAGAACTGAACTTGCCAGGGCAGCTGAATTCACTTAATCCCTTAAACCAAACGGATGAGATTTTAAAGTATGGATTTAAAAAAAAGCCAAAACAACAGAAACCTCCCACACCCAGCCCCAAACAGTTAATTTCACACATGCCAAAACATAATAAAAGATAGATTTTTAAAACCTTTCATTTCAAGACAGCATTCTTTAAAAATGGAACTTAATCCCAAAATTAAAAAAATTTAAATAAATACCCTTATACAAACATGTGCTCAGTTTTGGATTGACCATAGCCATTCTGTTTATTCATTTTACTCAAAATGCTGAATAAAAGCTATTTCAGTCTGACCTGCACTGATACCCTTCTTTCCCCAACCCAAGGCCTGGATTTGGCAGCTTCAAAATGGCATTACTTGTTGGGACTGTGGTTTCATACACTCATTAAGTCAATGAGGTTTTGACATCAGTTCATGAATGCAGCATTATGTGTAGTCCCATTTACTTAAAAATTTCTTCTTTTCATGAGCAAATGGAAGTGGGTAGTTAAAAGGAAATTATTTTTTTTTTGGACAGACTTCACCCAGCAGCTCAAGAAAGAGGAAATTTTGAAGCAGATAAGACTGCCAAATATTATTCAGTCACACTTCATCTCTAAAATTTACAAACTTTGTTCCCTGCAAGTAACAATTTCAACAATAACAAAAAGGAACTGCTGTCCTGAATAATCCTGCTGTTTCACAACTAGCCCCAGATACCCAGAGATCACTGCAGAGGTCAAAAGTCCAGTGTTGAGTTTCTTTCATACCAAGGGTACACCACTGGGCCACTGAAACACCAAAGCAGTGTGGAGTATCTGCACAAGGCCAGAACTCTGATTTTTAAATACAGAACTTAGCAGTTAATAGACTTCAAAATGAGTGATATTTTACACTGAAGGACATAAATAAAAGTCAAATACAAAAATTCCCAGCCACAAGAAGTTCTGTCATCACTCATTTCTGAAGCTCTGCAAAAAGAACATCAAGATACTATGTTTACCTTTATCCATTAAATAAAATAAGCCTTTTCTTGGTAGATCAGTGTGTCATTTTAAATTGTCTGGGTCTATTCCAAATTTGAATAGACACAAAATTAAACAATAAATTGAATTTTCCTTGTGCTGTGACCACATGCAGCAGAAAAGCCTCCTTTTTATGAATGGCTGAACTTTCAGGACAGCTGTTCACTTCTTTAAAAGTTACGGAAAAGAAGGGATCACTTAGTACAAAGTGGATAGCGCCCAATGCTGGCTGGGCAGGGATTTCTTGTGCTTCCAGCCAAGGCAAAGGATGAGCTCCAGAGCAGCCCATCCTGAACCAAAATTTGTTGAGGGATGGCCCAATTCTCTGCTGTGTTGGCTGCATGGGTAAGGTCCCATCATCTCAACTTGGTTTTTTTCTGAGTACACAGCTGAAGTACTACAGATTTAACACATGCATGGTACTAGATATAGGAAACCCCAAGCACCTGCTGAGTTTTATGCTTCCATGTATGCTTCACTGAGATCAGCACTGAGGATGTGCGTATCCAGCAGGAGTAGGGGACAGATCCTGCTTCCCCAAGGGCTGGGTCCCTTCTTGGGCTCCCACACACAGAGGTGAAGCAAGGCTGCTGCTGTCACCCTCAGGAAGTGCAGCCCTCACCCTCCATATACCACCAGTATATCCTTCCTGTAGGGCAGGCATAGAGGTACCAGCCTGCAGACACCTTCCTGCTGCTCCCTGCTGCAGTCACCACCCTCCCTTTGGGCACATTTAAGGAGTTCAGTTGTGCCCTGCTGTCAGACAGCATAGGTGTGTGACTATTGTGACTATTTAATGAAAGGTCACTACCCCTGGTGTGAATCTCAATGCAATTCCCATGGGAAATAAGACTCCCTTCTCCCAGCTGACTGTCCCAGCAGTGGAACAGAGCCCTGCAGAGCAGCAAAGCTCACCCTCTGGCTCTTTTTGTCTTTGGCAACAGACCATATCAATCGGTATCCTATGTGCACAGGTTGATGGCAAAGGAAAGAGCCTCTCCAACAGCAGCCCTGAGAAAGAGGAATGAAATGTCTTACCTAGTGTATGAACAAGTTCATTTGGGAACTCCTGTAAAATCCAGCAGTAGCTGCAGTTTGGCTCTTGGGCCTGAACCAGTTTAGCAGCATTCATCTCAAATCTTGTGGTACCGCATTAAAAGTGTAATTCCAAATATATGTTTCCTGGGATGGTACCACTTCTGAGTTCAATCAAGTACATCTCTGCTATCTGCTGCCCAAATTCCTAAACCAAACTCAAACTACAGAGGCTACTTAGGGCAAATTCAATGTACCAAAGGCGCAGAGGGCTGGATGCTGCCAAGAAAAATCCCAGACTGTAAAGAAACTATTTGTCAGAATAACAGTATGCATTCAATAAATAAATCAATTTTTTCCTCCTCCAAGCCAAGTGGAAGTTTAGTATGTTTACACCTGACACTGCAGCACCTTCACCTCCTAGAGAATGGAAAAACTGCTGTACAATCCTGAATGTACGCAGCTCCTGCTGCCATCCCAACATCCATCTTATGTTAGGTAACATAAATGTAGCATCTCTGTTGCCCTTAGAAGAGGAGGTCCCACCCTGTCCCTGCTCTCTCTGGGCCAGCACAAGGAGCCGTACAAGATCCAACCCATTTGCAAGCCAGCACGAACAGCAGCATCAGGTGTCTGTGTAACCAAAGCACTGGATTTTCTTTCTGCTGCATCAGTAGGTCTGCACAGAGGGTGGATGATGCCTGTCACCTAAACCTCTGGATCTGGGACAGAAAGTTTGTGCTCAGTAGTACAATCCCTACTCACTGTGTCTCACCTGTTCACTGCAAGGGCAGGGAAAAGGATTCCAACCGGCATCGCAAAACCCAGAAAGACAGGGAAAAGAAGAAAACACAAGGGAGGAAACACAGCCAACATTTGTGAACCAAAATGAAGTGCAAAGACATGAACAGCAACTCCAGCACAACTGCCAAACCACTGAGAAGCAAGACTGACAAACATTTTGGTCCAAGTTTTGTCCCACTTCTGGATTATATTTAACTAGACATGGTTAATTATTCACCAGGCTTGCATTCATGACTTGCACTAGCCACTCTTTTCAGTAAATGGGTTTTGCTTTACTGTATGAAAACTCTCTTGATCCCATTTGGGGTAATTCTATTTTCAGGAGACCGACAGATGATTTCTTGATCAAATCCTCTCTTCTGTGTTACCTACTTTTAAAAGGGCAGGAAAGGAACTGGACAGCATGGTGTATACCATGACAGTTGCAATGGGAAATTCCTATTGGCAGAGATACTACCTCTGGAATTCTCACAGAAACCCATTTTAAAGAAAAACAACCAAACTTGTCAGCAGCTGCTTCCAAGAAGGAATGATGAAGCCTTGCCCGAGGTTTTAGCAGAAACAGCCCCAGAGAGAATTGCTAGAACTGGCAGAACAACATGGATAGAAACAATTCTCCCCTAGGGTGCGGTTTTGCAGTATTACATTATTCCTTCATCAGTCACACTATTACATTTTGGGGACTATTTAATGAAAGGTCACACATATGCTCTTGAAATATTAAGCATACATGAATAATTTAGGGCTGGGAAACAAGTTTCATAACTTCAGCCACATCAAAATTTAGAAGCCAAAATTCTCTACAAAGGAGGAAGACAAGCATTTCCAGTGGGCACCTCTTTCTATATCAATTCAAGGGTGAACTGAGTCAGCCTTTGGAGAGCTCTCTCTGTATTGCCTGCTGTGTTCTTGCTGATCAGAAGACATCTGACTCCAAGCTGACTAAAGCCAGGTAAGATGAACAACACTACTGATGCCCTCCTGTTCAAAAACCTATTTTCTCTTTAGATTTACTGCCCATCCCAATATTCTCTTATTTCCCCTAGTCATAATTTTAAAAAAAAAAACCTCAAAGGGTTTTTCTCAAGTTTAATATTATTTAGTGCTATATGCTTGTGTTCTACTCTTTTACTATTTGATGACCTAGCGCTGTAAACACATCAGCACTGGAGCAGCTTTACAAAGAAAAAGAGTATCCCTGTTTACTGGGATAAATCATGTGACTTTCACTATATTCTTTCAAGAAGATATTCTCAAAAGAATAAGTATTTCAAGACTGCTATCTAAAATCTTAAAAAGAAGAACAGGAAAAACATAGCAAAAGCGTCTGTCCACCCCCGAACTGGTGACAGGGAACGATTAATACAGTACCAATAGCTGGCCACTTTAAGGAGGTGAAGAGGCTGGGGGTCCTATGTAATTTTCTTACCTTGTAAATAGACGGGAAATTTTCTCATCCCTTTTGTTTTTCACTCACACTCACCACTTGGTGGAGGTGAGAACTTCTGGCTTAAGGGATGTGAAATTACTTGTGCAAATCTTTTAGCTGAGTTCAGCTGTATAATAAACCCCATTATCATTACTATGTCTTGCCGTCTGCCATCCATGAATGTTTTCCACCACCCATTTTAACCGGCAAACCCGTAACGCTGACGCTTAGCAGGAGCTCACAGAAGGCCTCCCTCCCCAAATACCCAGGCATATGCACTGTGGTTGAGGACTGCTTTGTTTTAAAAGCCACACATTTTCTTATGTAATTGTGCTTTAAAGAAAAAAACAAAACCAAAAATCTAAACCAAACAAAACAAACATCAACTACTAAACCAACACATAGAAGCTCCTAACAGGCTGTATGAAAAGTGAGCTGCAAAGATTTTCTGAATCCTGCAACACTTTCACATCAAGTCCTGTTATTCTGTGTGTTGGTTGGAGGTGTAGTAATACAGCATGGTGGTGTCAGCTGTCATGGTAGGAACCATTCATGTCAGACACTACAGAAAATTTAATGACATGACAGTACCTTCACAGCCCTCTGGTAGGTGAGGAAAATCTAAAAAGGATCTTCCCAACCTTTCACAGTAAACACAGTTGGATAATCTAAAGCACCTGCAAGCAGGGGATGAGTCCATGATATATCTTTGCAATCAGCCAGCTAATACTGTTATTAAAACAGTCAAGTTTTTCAGCTCTTAAATCTCCAGTCCATTTTGGGCATTCCGAAGGACCACATCAGTTTGGCATTTAGCTGCCAACAGATTTAATTGATCCAGACACTGGGTTTCCTTCTCCTGTATCCTCAGCTGTTTCTAAGACACCCAAAGCCCTTCACAGGGGCCGAATTACCATCTCCTTCAAGAGCTGTCTGGTTCCTATTCTTTCACAGGAGCTCAGAGGAGCTAGCAGTACAGAGACATCCTGCTCTTCCGCATGGCTTCGCTGATCAAGTATGCCGGGCTCAGTTCTGGCTCCTCAGTCATGATTGAAATGTTCTGCCACTCCCCCAGCTGGTTTGACTTTTTAATGGTGTCCACCACACACAGGGCATACAGACAGTCATCAAAAGTGGCAGCCATCGTAAGGGGCCTCCCGTCCCAGGTCCTCCTGTCGTCCTGGTCCTCAAAGGCCTGCCGGACAGCCTGCACCATCTTAATGGTGCCCCGCAGGTAGGGGGATGGGATGTCACTGAAGGCTTTCTCCGGGAGCAAGGAGTTGCTGACTGGCGTGGAGTCCTTCAGCAGGAGCTCCCGCTGAGGAGAGCTGTTGCTCTGTCCGTAGAGGTCAGTGCCCATCACAATGAGCCGTCCCGCCGAGCCCACCACGATGATGTCCTGTTTGAACTCCCCCGGGATGTTGAAGTTGAGTGTCACCGTGCAGCACACGCCCCCCTCCAGGACCATCTGAAATGTACAGAAGTCATCGCTGGTGATCTGCCGGATGCCCTTGATGTGGTCTGTCTGCTTCACGAAGGTCTTGAGCAACCCGTGCACCTTCACAGCCTTCTGGCTGGTGAGGAAGGTCAGCAGGTCGATGATGTAGGTGCCAACCGAGTGCAAGCCCCCGCCTCCCATCAGGTCATCGCAGCTCCAGTTGTACTTCTTGCCCAGCAGGCTCCCACTGTGGACCTGTACCTCACACACCAGCAGCTCCCCCACATAACCCTCTTGGATCAGCTGCTTCATCTTCACGAAAGCAGGCAGGAAGCGCAAAACGTTCCCCATGATGCTCATGAGCTTTGGGTAGTAATGAGCGGCGGTCATCATCCGAAAGGCATCCAGGGGAGTCGCTGTTCGGTCACAGATGACGTTTTTCCCAATGCCTGAAAAACAGTGGGGGGGAAAAAAATCATCAACAAAATGTTATCGATGCAGTAAGCTGAAAGCCTCGAGGCTATTCTTAAAGACCAAGCCAAGGAGAAAAACCCTTAAAATAATAACACCATATTGAAATGTTCTCAAGGCACAAAGACCCAACCCACTCTGGCATGCTTCCAAAACACATGCAAGAATTTCTTAAGCATCACAGTGAAAATGTATTCCTTTTTATTTTCAAAATGCATTCCTGTCTAAAAAGAGCTCAAAGGTGAGAGCCTGAACAGAAAAAAGTAAGCTCCCTTCTGTGAGCAGGTATGAAACCAATCACCCACCTCAGCCATCTCACAGACATCTCTTCTGTGACAACCTGCCCATGTGGGGCTTCTGTGAGCTGAATCTGAGGTTCAGATTCAAATCCCTGAAGGGTATGAATGATACAAGTGCATGTATTCAGTAACTTAACACAGGTCCACTGAAAAGCCTGTCTTTGTGTTCTCAGTATTCTTGTCTGTACCTTTTTCCTGCTCAGACTGTTTTAAGAGGCTCTGAGGAGAGGAGAAGTACTAGGCTTGCTGCTTAATTTAAAATGAAGAAATTGCTTCTCACTCATAAAATGCCTCACTATTCTGACAACAGCACTCAAGTGTTTTTGAAGCAGTTCTGCTGAAATGTCAGCAGCACATCCATTGTGCCAAGGGAGAGTCAGGATTGCTCTAAAACAGGTCAAATGTAGCTGTGACAATCTGTTCCCTCGTGGAATTGTCCATATGGCATACTGTTTACTGAAGCTTGCATGACAGTTCCCTTTTATCTGGTCATCAAGGTGTGCAAGTGAACATACTGAAGGCTAAATAATGGGCTTATTACTGATTTCTCCTCCTCAAATACTTTCATTCTGTACCCACACACACATATAGTGACAATCTCCTGTTTCCTTCTCAACTGCATACAGACTTTTTTTATGCTTAATGATCAATATTAGATGAGCTGTGGAACATGTTGGATCTAAACCATAACACTAAATATGATCTTTACCTGGAGAGCCCTGGGCTAAAGCTGGGCCTGGCACTTAAAATTGCTGAATTTGAGTCCTTGCTGATGGAGTCCAGATGAATAAATGTGTTTATTTGCTAAATTACATTGTATTTTCATTCCTGTTTTCTTCAGGAAAAATCAGGAAAAATCCCTTTTTCTTTGAAGAGCTGTTCCAAGTATAAAATGTTACGTTTTGGACCTGTTTGGATGAAGTCATATAAGTACAGACAGATGGCAGGGATCTATCTGAGCCCACTTACATGAATATTTAACAGCCTGACTGGAAGAAGAAGGGGGTCACAGTCCAAATATTCAATAACCAGCTTATCCACACTGCCTATTCCCAGTCTTTGCTGCTATTTGAGTAGCTGAAATGGGAGGGAGGG